TTATGACAACTTAGAAACCTGCATTAGTTCTCAGGGAACTGGGAGAACCCCACAAATGATTCAGCCACAAAACCAACAGCTGCATTTTTTTCTGGAGGAGCTCTGACCCAGCAATAGAGATTTAGGTAAGGACTGCCATTAGTTAGAAAACCAAAAAAGCTGTTCACAACCTCTCTGTTTACAAGCAAGAAGAATTGAGAGATAGGGCAGCCTAAGCACATCAGGAGGTTGGTTCTGTTCAACCTACAGACCTTGTGTTGTTCTGTTTATAGCCAGTGCATGTGTTTCAATAAAAATTGGATATTTTCTTTACATGCCTGTTGTCTCAATCTTCTGTCTCTGAATCTGACACACTGAATATACCTTTACTGAGGACAAGGTCTGTACTGCAGGCTGCATATTTTTTAATCAAAGACTGCTACCATTTACAATTATCTGCCTATCTTTGACTTCCAAGTCTATAAATTTGTTCGTATTTTCATAAACTAAACCACAGATCTGTCAAACAACATCTAAAGGCAACATGTCTTACAAACATAGGGAGTCAGAGAATTGTAAAAGAAAACAATACTGAATATAAATTACACATTAAGTTCTTATTCCTAGGGTTGAGTTGTGAAGTTCATGGCAAACATGCATTCGATTTCAAAAGGGCAAATAGTCAACACCCTGACTTCTAATTGTTCTGAAATATCTCCTGGCAGAAAGAAAGCTAAGTGTAATGTATCGTTGTGCTACCATATTCAGACTTCAGAATGTAAATTCTCAGAGCTGCTTTCATGAAAAACAACACGCAATTTGAAAAGCAGCAGAAATTCACACTGAAAAGCAGAAAAAAACCAATAATTGGCCTTTTTTTTATTCACAGATGGTACTTTTAAAACTTTATACCTTGCTCTACATCCTGCCCAATAGCTTTTTTTCTTAACACAATATTATAAATTAGCTTAACTTCAATCTTAATATTTGACTCTCAAATACAAGGAACAACATTTATCTCAAAAAAAAAATCCAGACAAATTGTGAAGAAAGTAATATACAGAAATAAGAATATATGCATTATTCAAATCAAGCTGCAAATCTGAATAACAGATTTTTCCAAAATACACTGATTATATTAATAGTTATTCGAGTAACAACTGTATTATGAATAAGGTTGCATAAAATCAAATCTAACTCAAGCAACATCTGGCATACCAAAGATGTCACAAAAAGATACATCTGTAATTTGCAAAATTACTTCCTTTAGAAGTGTGAAATATTCATTGCTCATCATCTTCTTAAGATTACGAGCTCAGAACTTTGTGAACACCAGATTTCACTGAATTCCCTTGTTGCAACTAACTCCTGCTTACACAGAGAAACAGTGGGGTACGTTCCATCACCTTGAGTAGAGCAGTACGTCTGGAAGTAAAGGCACAAACACTTGTATCTGCCAGCTCCCTGCAAGCCGTGCAGCAAATCAGAAGAGTAAGGAACGAGCTGCTTTTAGAAAAGCATTCAGGCTGTTACTGACTTGTCTCGTTCCACCTCAGATTTTGCGAAAACTATTCACGAACATTCACCTCCACCTGCAACACAAACAACCTGACTGCAACCAGCACTTCTATTAACTAGCAGTAGCCCTTGAAATGAATTTGGGCCATTTTTGTAGGGATGTTTAGTAACATTTTCATCTTGCAGAGCAGGCAAAGGCTTTAGTGTCATTACTGACTAGGTTTGAAACGGAACTGCAGGCTGCACTTCATTAGTAAAATAACATTAATTTACTACACAAATCATCACAAACAGCAAGAAGTATTTATCATATTTTATAAGGTAGTGTGATTTTCATGTGACAATTTTATTCATTTATAGCTGAAAAATCTACTAAAATGAGTAGTGGTACCATTATACCTTATGTGCCGAAAATCATGCATGCATAAATGAGAAGGCAGAAAAATTATTAAGATATAACGATGTACTATAATGCAGTAAATGCTAGTAAAATTGCAATCACTATTTAAATCTCAGTTCTAAAATAAACTCCACAAAGACAGGCTAGTATGACATGAGACAGCTCTGTACAGAATTAGAGCTTCAGAGATTATTTTTATCTTGCTATTTTTTCGGTGCCTTCAGAAAAATTATCCTCTGAAGACAAACTGATTGACCAACATTAGTTTCCCAAAACCAAATGTACAGCCAAAACACGTGAGAGGTCATCTGCTATAGGTAAGATTTCATATATTATTTTATAATGCAGCTCTTTCATAGTACTTTTTGCTTTTTCTGTTTAAGAAGGAATTTTTAAGTTTAATTGATTTCATAATTAGTGTTATGCTGGTTACTAACATCACTGTACATATACACTTGCACAAAATTTGACATTTGAATTTTACATAAAACAACTTAAAACCAACAGGGAATTCTTGACATTTCATTTTTCCTTTTTAACTTAAAAGAAGTTAAAAAAATAAACTATATGGCTCACAATACTTTAACTCTTCATTACCAGAAATACATTAGTTAATGCAGCCCTGTACAAGCGAATGTGCTCAACTGCAACCGATGATTGTGGGCTCAGACCTACAGGGATTAAAATCAGAGAAACACAGCCCACCTTGTGCTTTCTGTCCCAAATTACACTCCTTTCTCAAGATAATACATCCTCATGGCCCCAACTGAGCAACGAGATGTATAAAATTTAACCAACTTCTCATAAAGTTTCTTTAATTTTATTTTCAAGTTTGACTATAATTCAAATTTTCTTCTAAAAGTATGCATTTTGCTTGTCGTGACTTGAAAATAGCCTAAATTCCTGTATCTCTATGTGTATTTCTATATATAGAAATTCATAATAATCAGCCCTGTTTGAAGTTACAAATAGATATGAGGTGATATGAGGCACTAGTACAATTATGAGATTTTTCTCACACCTTTGAATTTCTTAAATACACTAAAATGTATGACCTCCATACCGCTCTGTACTACTCATCTCATAATAAGGAATAGAGCTTGTCCTTAAATCAGAGATACAAGAGCAAAATATTCACAACAGCATTTATAAAACTGGAGATTATCTCTACTGAAATACCACTGAACAGAATCTATATGACTTTAGACAATATTTCATAACCAGAAAAAAAAAATCTATGTAACATGCAAAAAGCTGAAGTGGAGTTTAGAAGACTTCTAAAATAACACAGCATAGAGGATGAGGACCTGTTCACTCAATGACACTTCAACCTGTCATGCTTTTGGAACAAAAAAAACCCAAAAAGGTGTAAAATCATTGGCATAGTCTTTATTTTAAAGAGATCTCTGCAAGACAGTGAGACATTTTCCTCAGAAGAAAAGTAACTATGTAATGGTTTAGAAAAACCTTTTGTAGTGCCTATTATTTTACATACTTATGCAAATATAAAAATACTAAAAAGCTATGACATCTTTCCAAGTCAAGCCCCACATTCTTGTCCAATTTCATTTTCAAAGATACTCACATAACATGTTATTTCACTACAATAATCACTTGAAAGCAGCTTTTTCTAAACAAATGAATGAACACGTCTTGATTAAAACTGATAAAAGAATCAGCTGTGAGTAAAACCAAAACTTATGGCATTTCTCTTCATTAAATACAGAGTGAGCAGGAGGACAAACACAGGCAGAGTAGATGTGCCTGAAGAGGGGCCACAGGAAAGCTGGGGAGGGACCGTTCACAAGGACGTGTAGCGACAGGATGAGAGGCAATGGTTTTAAACTAGAGTAGGGTAAATTTAGATTAGACATTAGGTAGAAGTTCTTTACCATGAGGGTGGTAAAACACTGGCACAGGTTGCCCAGAGAGGTGGTGGAGGCTCCGTCCCTGGAGACATTCAAGGTCAGGCTTGATGAGGCTCTGAGCAACCTGATCTGGTTAGAGATGGCCCTGCTCACTGCAGGGGGGTTGGACTACACGATCTTTAAAGGTCCCTTCCAGTCCAACACATTCTATGATTCTATGAATCAATGTGTTAAAAGACACAGTTTGTTTTTAATAATCTGAGATTTATTAGTAAAATAGTATCAGTTAAAAAAAAAAAAATATGTACAATACAACTGCAAATCCTAACATCCAAAATTAGTTTAATGTATTTTTCAGGGTTTAGGCATGCATTTTATGCAAACTGCAATTGTTTGTAACTTGACAATAATATTTTCCAGGTTCAAACATCTTAAATATTGCCATGTTGAAAAAAAAGACAAGGGAACTCCATGGTGTCGCAGCAAATCATCTAGCATATACAAAATCTAATCAAGCACCTAGTCACACATGATATTCCCTAATGCTAGATCACAAATATTAGTCACTTATATGAATAGCAATCAAAATTAACATTTCTTCCTATACAATTCCTATAGCAATAATATGGCATCTGAATAAAGCAGTAGCTTTCTAGTTTAACATTTCTCCTATAGTTACTCATCTCGGTAATACCCAGTGTATTATGACTCTAATGAAAGTAAGTCTTTTTCATGCAAAGATCTTAGTTCTCATGTTTCAGAATAATTTCTTTTTTTTTTCCTGCACTCAGGGTCTTCAGAAACAGAATAGTTTCTTCCCAGCTCTGTCTACTGAGAAGTCTATGTCAAGGCCAAACCATAAGAAACCCAAGGCTTTAGGTTTTCCACAGCTCTTTGTGTACGTGGATACAGGAGAACAGGAGACCAGGTAAGCACAGCACGCAGCTAAGCAGCATTTCAACAAGTTTTAAATGTCTTTCTAAAGAAGAGATAAATAATCCAAAGGCTTTTTTGCATATGTCTAACACTTGAGAATATTGATGTCAAAGTGTATGTACAATAAAAACCCCCAAATTTTCATAAAATGTCTGTACTCCTTGGAGTGATTTCTACATGTAAATTAATTGGTTTAGATGTGCAGTTGTCAGAACTTTGGGTTTATCTTCATATTTCTACTAGAAACCATCATTTGCAAAAGAAAGTCTCAGATGAGAATACTTATACAGAGCACCCTGGATTAATATCAATAGAAGTATTAAAATTCTGATGTATGCATTTGAAAAAATCATATTGTATTTTCAAATAAGGATTGATAAACTGCATAGTTCTCATTCCAGCCGTCCTTGCTTAGCATCACCTATTGCTCCCCAAACGTCAAAGACAAACTCATCTGGAAATGCAAAGTCTCCGAGAGTTTCATCCAATGCCACTGCAAATTCATCTGGGTTTTTCTTGTCTCTTCCAGCTTCCACCATTGTTGCAGCTAAAGAGCAACAAAACAAAATAATATAATTATCATGAAATTGACAGCTAATATATAAGGCCAAGATAGTTTTTGAATGCCTATTTTCAAAACCAGATGAGGTCAGCCTAGGGAGATGTAAAAACTACCTCCTGAATTTAGGATTCAGTAGGAATTATGTACTTAAATTCCCCCACACCAGCTACGTTTTGCTCTGATAAACAGCAGAGCTTCCCTGGAGCGCTTGTTATGTATTCTTCTGTTGTCTGGCAGAGGTCGAATTTTTAATTCATCGAACCTCCATTTTAATTTAATTAAATTATATTCTGCATTCATTACTGAAGGCACATGAAGCATGGGTCTAAAAACAAGGTTAAGCACAACTCTGCATTAACAAGAGCCATGCCAGTGAATCATCAACTTCAGTTTGAGCACAGGATCACAGAATGGTTTGAGTTCGAAGGGACCTTAGAGATCATCTAGTTCCAAGCTCCCTGCCATGGGACACCTGTCACTAGACCAGGATGCTCAAAGCCCCATTCAAGCTGGCCTTGAACACTTCTAGAGAGGAGGCATCCACAATTTCTCTGAGCAACCTGTTCCAGTGCCTCACCATTCCCACAATAAAGAACTTCTACTCATACATGAACTTTTCTACATGCACTGTGTTGTACTGACATGGAAAAATACCTCTGATAAACATCTATGAAACTTTGCATGCTCTGAACATTTTAAAATGTATTTAATATTTTGTTGACCTGAAGCTCAGCTCAAGTTTATTAACAGTTATGAACTGCAGGCAAACAGTGCTTGCTGTTATGCAAACTCCTAACAAGCTGTGAGCAAACGTGAGCCATATTCCAACACTGTCCAACATCAGCAACGGTCATTTAAAAAAAATTCGATGGTTTGGTTTTAACTGCATTCAGACGTGAGGCTCCAAACAGCATCACAGTGCCAAACTACACAAAGCAGTCCAAGGAAAATTTACGTAAATCTTGACAAACAAACTGATGTGATTGGGACAGTTCAAGTGCAACCAGCTTCCGGGGCATCACCAGAGGTTCTCAAGGAGAGCCTCTTTCCTTGCCAGGAGAAATCCCATCCCTGTCGCAACGATTCCTTCTGTGTCCTCTGTGAGGTTCCTTGGACACCAACTCAGAGGAGTCTTATTAGGAAATTGGCATTAAAGCGGGGATTCTTGTTCCTGACAAGAAGACGACTATTTGTCCTGTCAATGCCAGTCAAGCAGGAGACAGAATGGCACCACCGTGGAAAAGCAGTGGCCTCAAATAAAAGTGCTTTCATCTGTATTGAGCAACTGCAATCAGTACTACCAGGGTACATTTAATGTCTAGATCTATTAAAACGCATTTTCCCCTTCCCAGTCCCACCTGATGTAATGAAACACGCAGGATGGTCGCTGCCGGGGTGCAGTTTTCCACAGCTTGGTGCTGACCTCTACTGTCAGCAGAGCTGCAAAACCCAACGGCAGATCCTACCGCAGCACGAAACCATCCTCCCGAGTTTCCCACGCCAGTTGTACCACCAGTCGATACGAAGGTGCGAAGCTGAACCCCGCTTCACTCCTTTCACACACACAGAAACACTAAAGCAGACCCGTCTTCTCTCTCCCCCGGCTCCCTCTGGTACGGGCTGGCATCATCCCCGGGGCAGCGCCGCGGCTGCACGTATGGTTACACAATGACATTTGCAATGCGTAATTCCCAAGGCAAACGAAAAACTACAGGCTGCCAAGGCATCTAGCTGGTAATAGCCAACTTGAAGAATGCTGCACTGGTTCTCAGAGGGTGACAGCTCTGGGCCAAGTTGCCTCCCCTCCCCTCCCTATCCCCCACTGCTTCTCGTAACAGCTGCACAATAAGTGACTACGGGAATTCTACCCCAGCAGAAAATCTTTTACACACTCCAATTGTTCTCAGATTTCTATTTTTTTTAAAAATCTCACTTCAGGCAATGTTCACACCTGAGAAATTTTCACATAAAATGAGAAAAGTTCAGCGAACTTAACAGTGATGAAAGGAGTTGGAACTTTCACTTCGGGCAATACTCATACCTGAGAACTTTTAACGTAAAACGTGGAAAGTTCAGCAAACTTAAAAGTGATGAAAGGAATTAGAAATCTTCTCAACTAACCAAAAAGCTCAGGATCAGGCTTCCCAGAATATGAACAAGTATGCTGACTTTTTAAACCTAGTCCCTTGAAAATAACTTCAAAGATCTTTTGCAAAAATCCTTATTTTCACTTTTGATAGACAAATGCGATACAAGCCACGAAAGCCACAATCTGCCTCTGCCTCTGTTCTCTACCCCATATAGATTTTCTACCTATATCCTGCCCTGTAACTTCCAAAAAAAACTTTTTCAGAAGTCTTAACAGAAACTTCAATATTTATTTAGCTGTAATGTTATTTTGCCTGCATCAAAATTTAAAAATATTATAATTCTAGCCCGACACTTTAAAAGAGCCAAAATCCACATTCAGCTTCCTTACAACATGACAGGAAATGAAGCGTATCACTGTAGTTTTCACTGTTTAACATTACTTGGTTTTATTTCCATGTTGCGAGATCTGGCACTCGAGGAAGCATTAGAAATATCCTTTCTTCTTGTTTCTTTTTATTAAGTACTAATTTTTCTTGAAGTGCAGAAGTTTTGTTTAACTATACTTGGTACCTTTCTCTTTCTCGCAAAACTCCTATTATTCTCTCAGAGTAAAAGAAGTCATAAACAATATATACCAGAGTGTACAATAAGATCCTTTAGGATAGGAAGTCTGCTGACAGAAAGAGCAGAAACCAGCAGATTGAGGGAGAATATCACTCTAGTCAAAGCATTTCAAGATAAAAATCATCTAACCAATATTGCTGGGTTGGATTAGTGAGCCAAGGGAAGAAGCCTGGGTGACAAGACACTTTGACTAGCAGGTAAGTTTGAAAAATAAAGTCAAGAGTAGAGAAATAAGTTTGAGATTCTTCTAAAAAGAGACAGAGAATATGCAAAGATATGTGGATGTCTGAAAATATTATAGGGAACAACAAAAAGGAAATAATCATCAAAAAGCATAAAGATAGAACAAAGTAAGGCCAAATATCAGTGGATGAAGAGGTAGCCAAAAGATGCTGAAAGAGAAAAGCTGGACAGGAAGCGCTTTTTCCATCAGTAGCATTCTGGAGTTGGCTTCTTCCCACCCAGAATCTTTGGGATCAAATACAGTTCATAATGACTCAATCATCACAGATTTAAAAAATAAATGCCACCAGTATTTTTGACTAACGGTTTCCTGAGTCCCTCCCATTAATCGACTGTTCGTGTTCCTCTACCAGAAAGCACTGACAGGATTTAAAATAACCTATAATATCTCTCTGTGGCGCATTTATTCCCTAAAGAAGGCTGGAGTCAAGCCTTGGCCCAATTTCTAATGTGCCCACAAAATGGCTGAGGAATATGTTTCCAGAGCCAAATGTCCCTTCCACAGATTAAGCCCAGTTTTCAGGAAAATAGAGTAAAGAGAGTAAAAGAAAAAAGTGCATTCAAAAAGCAGGTATGTAAATCTCAACAGCATTTAAATCTCTGAAAATATAAACCTGTGCCCTCACTAAGCATCTGCATTTCTGTTAAATGATTTCCAAGCACTTCGTTCCAGCTTAGGGATTTGTGTGTACATGTAGTCAGCCACTCTCGAAACTGTCAAGATACTTAACTATGCAAAAATTCAGGGCTTTATCTCGTCTCTAATTCTGTCTGTAATTTTACATCATTTTTTCTTTCCTTTCTTTCCAAATTCTGGCTTAAAACTGAGGCACCGTTTTAGAATTCAATCACACCATGGAAGTGTCATTTTAATGGAGATGAAAGAGCAAAATTAACTGACATCCAAAGCTTCTGACAAACAGAACTGCATGGGAGTGAGCAATGATTGAGATCTTAATCACTTGTCGCCTGTCGCATTGTGATGACTTGCATTTTCAACTAATCTGGCTTGAGTAATGAGTGAAATTTCTAGCTAAGCGGTGATTGGCATTCTCTGAATGAATCCTTTCCTCATATTTCATTTTCATGGGTGACTGATCACATCCAGTATATGAAAAACTGACATGTGTTAATTGAACAGATTTGTGACAGGTGATGAGCTCTCCTTTCCTAAAGAGTCCTAGAGCTGTTTAATTGTTTAAAAATGATAAAAACTTTTTTTTTGTCATCATTGTTGGCCCTTGACTCTAAGATCTGAACTTTAGGTAATGGCTTCAAAGGTGCAAACTAAAGCTATGTGAATCCTGTAGTCTTTGATGCCTGACAGTTCCTCTGTTTCACTGCCTTTTTGGGAGGAAGAGAAGGAAGAGGTGAAGGGCAAAATGCAAACCAGTTGGGAAGAAGAGAGTATCTCCAAGGACAAAGACTTCTTCTTTCTGTGGCATTCTTTGAAACTTTCCAAACTACATATCGAAAGATGAAGGACATTAGATGTTCTGGAAAAAAAACAATCAAGGAATTCATGGGAAAACTCGACCAGGTGCATGGCAATCAGCTCAGCCATATGTGCTGAAAGCTGAACTCTTCAGTGTACTCTCCAAGAGCCATCCCATTACAGCACAAAGTCAAAAACACTAGTTCTCATTAGAATTTGCTTCCCTGTCCCAGATCAGAGCATAGCACACCTCAACAACCCAAAAAAACACGCTTTAGCCTATGATCTCAGGGTTTTGAGCTATGGGCACCACAACCAGAGCACCTATAGGTGATTATTCATGAAGGGCCAAAAGCCCGAGGACCTTGGAGGCAACCTGCAAGGACAGAAGTCTCCGGAAGCCCAACTTGAGCCGGGACTGCAAGAGCTGCAGGACAAAAAAAGCTCCTCCCAGAGGGGTGGCTGGCATGAGATGCGGAGCTTTGAAGCCTGAGCCAGATATGGACCAAGTGGTGGAGGCTACAAGAGAGCAACAGGACCTCCCTACGGGATCCTCCCTGCACTAAACAGAGGGTCAGCACTGCTCAGGGCTCCTGGGAGCACATTACATGGCAGGGGCATCATATAGTACAGTTGCTAGGAACAGAATTTTGAGAATTGTTCATTTTCTGGCAATCGTAAAGTTTAGATATTACTTAGAAAACAGAATTCACAAGTTTTACGCAGCTCCGATCTCTCTTCTGTGCCAGGAAGCCCACCCCTACCTTAGGCTGTAGGATGAACAATACTTTACCTACAATTTTTCCGGTGACAAAACTAGTGGAAGCTGCCAGTCAGATGCTTGCCAGTAGGAGCAGCCAACAAAGGACTTTGGGCTATTCAGATAATCGCCTGCTGTTCTCATTCCTCTGTGCTAACTGCTGCCTGTCCAACCCTTCTGCTCTGCCTTTCCCTTCATGCCAGACCTATTTTCTCTCCTGCTTTGCCTTCTCCACTTCTCTCTCATAGAAGATTTCTTTTCAAGATCACTTCCCACTCAGCTTTCCCTTTCCTAAACATTGGCTGATTTTATTAGATATTACCGTAACAATAAATACCTTCCTCTTCATCTCTGTATTAGCAGTTCCAAAAGACCTTGAAGTCTACACCAGCCACAGTGGCACTCGACTAGACTCCACCTTCTTCCCGTAAAAACAGAAACTCCTATTTAGTTGTTGTCAAATTAACAGAGAGAAGTAACAGCTGCAAGGACAAGTTTGGCACAGTTTTAAGGAACTTATGACACGGCTTGAATAGTCTCTTTCATTAGAAATTGATGATTGTGATAGCTAGTAAATAGTCTGGAAAATTTCCCATGTCCTTCAGAACACAGGCTTTAGAGAATTTGATAAATTTGTTCAATTACTCTGTCAATTCCCTTGTTAAATAGTTGCCCTTTCACTGATGAAGATCTCAGATTCAAATTTTACTTATTAGCTTTGATGTGCCTAAGCCAAGGGGCAAAAGAGCAAAAAACCAAATAGATATGCTTATCCTTAACAATCCTAAAATGTGGTATACACAAGCTCCACTAGAAAACACATGCCAGAAAGAATACAGCGATGACAGTTAATGGCAAAGAACTAAATAATTCATGCAATGATATACAGATTGCAGGAAGAATAAAGGAGGAATAAAGTACATCATAAGGCCTGTAGTGAAAGATTCTTTCTTATATCAGACAGACATTTCCATACAGACAAGTTTTTAAGACTGCATGCTGGACAAATTTTGCTTTGCTTACACCCAGTGACTAATCAAAAAATTTTAGACTAGAGAGAATGAGAAATTATTTAATCTTGTAGTAACGCACCTATTAAAAACTCACCTAATTCAATATCTCTTATCCCCATGTATGTTTCAAGAAGCTCATCCACTTTTTTAATTGCTTTTTCTTCAACTTCAGTTGGCTTTGTTGAAATAAAGGGAGAAAAAGAAGTATGATTATATCCATGCAGTTTTCAAAATAACCAGAAATTTGTCACTGATTATACTTACTCTCATCCAGCCCTCTCAGCTTACAAAACATACAAGTAAAATATGTTATTCAACTCTTTTCTCACAAACTTGAGCCTTGCTCAAAAGATCAAGCCACACAGCTCTCATTCAAAATAAACAGGGGCCCTACATCTCCTGACAATATAGATCTTCATCAAATCCTCATCAGTTTTAGAGGAACCCGAAACAAATAACATTTCTTCTTCGCTATCTTAATCTTGGTTTTACACATATTCCTGTGAACGTATGTTATTAACCTCTTCTAACAACAATGCCTTTTACTCCCACTCCCTTCCCTCTTCTCAACACTCCTTGGTCTAATTTACTTTAAGTTCATATACGTAATCCATGACATCTAAATATAGGCTGTTTCCAGATTCCTCAGCCCCATCCTGGTAGTCTTCAACTTTATATAAGCACTTCTCCCTGCAGAAGACAGTCATCTTAAGTCCCACAAGCTTTGTAACATCCAGATTTCCCCTTCCTACATTACCTCCTCAACCTCGAGGAAGAATAAATCAGGTACTAGATGATTAAGCTACAGAAGGGCCCCAAGATAAACATACCATTTCCTCCACAGTAGCAGGGCCTTTGGTCCTCAGCCGAAGTGTTTCTCTTCCTTTGGAGATTTTAGCCTCTGGCAGAGGTCCACCTTTGGACCTTGGTTCCAGCTTTTCTAAAGACAAACCAAACAACAGAATAAAAGAATATAAACCAAAACTAAGTATGTCGTACATGAGAATATGATGTATCTACCTTGGCTACTACATTATCTTCACTTTTTAGTCTAATCAAGACACACACAAATGTAAAAACCTAATTATAAATTAACTGCACTCTAAGTATAGGTTTGCCAACAATTTCTTGTCTTCAGACTTCGCTGTCTGCTTGACTGCGCTGAAGCTAGGGCTTCCATTGACCAGTAGACCTGTGCAGGCCTATTGCACTCAACTTCATATAAACACTTTCTATAATTTCTCACCAGTTCGTAGAGGGCCATTGTGACTGGTAAGGACCAATCTTATTCAGACAAGACTTTAATTCTGTGCTACAAGCCTTGCACTCAGGTACCTGAGGCAGCCTGTGAGCACATGGTAGAAAGATATACAACTCCTAAACTATACTTATTTCACATGTTGCTGAGTGAAAGAAAAATAAAGTCACTAATTTCACACAGAGGCTTGTGCCACATTTCTATATCCTCACAAACTTGTGTTGAAACTAACAGAAATTCAGCACCTACTTGTCCAGCAAGATGTGGATCCTGTTTGTCATCTCCTCTGGGGCTATTCTCAGCAGGCTGCAGCATGAACACTGTCTTGAATAAATTTATGCTTAAAGCCTAACTGTAACTATGGCTAGAGGCAGGATATTCTAACTTACTGGGCATGACAACTTGTAAATTAATTTCTGTAGGGTAAAAAAATAATGTACATCTTCCAAAAATCTGTCCAAAAAGCTTTGATTGCCTCTTAATTCAATGTCATCTAAAAGGTATTACCATGGAATTGGCAGGTTCCCTTCTCTATGTCACAGTAGACTAGAAGGTATCTTAATCACCTGACTAAAGTAATTACTACTAAATAACAGCTGAAGTAATCAAATCTCAATTTGCCCTGGTCTTTAAAAACAGACTACATAACACACTCAGCACTGAATACAAATTACAGAGCCATATTAAAAATGTATTCCTCTATTACTAATTGCAATACTATACATATGTAATATTACTTTATCATAATACAAAATATACATATTTACTTAACAGGAGTATCAACTTATATCCAAACCCATTACAGATTAACTCATAACTCTCATTCTTCACAGAAGCACCAAAAGGATAAAGCTCCACATTGCTTCCATTTTCCATTTCTGCTGCTATTCTGACACCAAGTGTCAAGACTGGTGTATGACAACAGTTGCAAACCAGGAACAGGTAAAAAAAGATTCGAAAAATAAACATTTCAAACTTGGGCTGCGGCGGTGAAGGTGGTGATTCTGAACTTGCTGCTAGTGCAGGTGTGCAGAAGGACTCATACACACAATTTAGCAGCACATTAAAGGTTTTATTACAGAAACATGCTACATAGTTTGAGAGAGAATACAAATTTTTTTTTCACTTATCTACCATATTGATAAAAGTAATGTACGTTTGGATCAGCAGTAGAGATGCATTCTGCCTACAGAAGTATCACTTTTGCATAACATGTGGGTGGTAGGTAGAGGCAGAGCTTTGCCATACTGCTTGCTACCAATTCCGAGTATACCTGCTGTGTGACTAGAGAGCCACAAAAAAGTTGGGGAGGGGGCGAGCAGGCACACAGCAAAGGAGGGAATCCCAGACAGTGCTTTCTGCAGCCTCCTTCCGCATTAGACAGCACAATCCACGGTAAATGGTACAGAAACAGAAAAATCTGACATGCAGATAAACAGGGATTATATATCAGTAGAGGAAAAGAGGAGGTTCAAGGATCAGCACATCAGTGCAGTAACTCGTGCTTTATCAGTGAAACAATTCCTGTGCTTGTTTAGCACCATCATCATGTAGTGGCAAAGGAACCCAGAAACTGAGAGTCAGGCTGAGGCAGCCTCACTGCTGGATAAAGAAAGATGGAAGAAAATCCATTCAAAAACTTCCCACTTCAAAGTAAATAACCAATGTACTTTCTTGTAGTAGTTGTATTACCTTGGCTGGACACCTGGCTGCAACCTGAAAACAAACTTATAATGCAATGCAACGCAACAGTGGGATTCCAACATCCAGTGAACAAGGCAGACAATCAGGGCACTCACCAAATGCTTTCATAGGCTCTATCAACACCAGTTTAAACATCTGACCTTTCTCCAGATCTTTTAGCATTTTGGCAACTTCATAATGCCGACAGTTTGACACATCTTTCCCATTTATAGTCTCTATGTGATCACCCACACAGATCGTTTTGGTTTGGTCCATTAGGCTACCTTCTTTGATTCGCTATTGTTTTAAAAACAAAACAAAACAAAACAAAAACCACACAAACCAAAATTAGAAACATTTCTTTAAAAGGTAAAGAGGTGACACCACCGAGTTTCAAGAATGTCAGTTAACATCATCAATACAGTTGAGCTTATTGCACCAGCAGTGGATTTGGTCTGTAAGATTTTCGTTAAAAATATTTTGGAAAGTATTATTTTTCACATAAAATATTTTAATAAGCATTGAACATAAAATCAACAGGGAAAAAAAGAATGCAATCATACTTCAGATATTAAGGCTTTTGATTAAGGTAATATTTTTGTGCTTTAACACTGAACCCAAACGTGTCAGCAATGTGAATGTTTAATTGAGTTTGGGGGTTTTATTTTTATTTAATAGCTTGGCAAGTATAGGAACAGAACCCTTCTCCTTCCAAGGATAGTCCAGGGACATTAAAAAAGTGTGTGGTATACTAAAAGATGCCACACTATAAGGAGTTAGTCTTAGTAAGACCCATTTATAGTGATAAAACTTCTACTTCTTTCCTCATCAAACTATAGAGATGCATATTAAAGTATTTCCTGTGAAATAACAACAAAAAATTCTCTTAAATGTCATCTCATAGAGTAGAAATACAAATGGTCTGAAGGTCACAAAATGTAACAGAAGTTAGTATTTATAGCTTTTGTGAAGTGAAATTTAAAAAGTGAGAAAAAAAAGCTCCAAAAAAAAGCTCCATAGTTTGTCAAGTCAACTAAAACACACTTATGTTTACAGCGATTCTGTTTATTTTTGCTATGTGCTCATATTTGTTTATCAGCTATGGCTATTTAATAGAAAAGCTATGACATGGCAGAATATCTTATATTTTGTAGAAACAAGAATTTCATTCTAATACCTTCCTGAATAACATACTTTCCAATAAAGACTGATGTTCGGGCTAACTTTGAGCGAGATCGCAGTGAGACAAGGGAGATAAACATATTACCACCCCCTACCACACCACCCAGCCCAGCTGCGTAACTACCTCAGAAACCTACTCCTAACCCACGTGCGCATGTCTGAGCCCACGGATCTGCCTCCATCCGAGAGAGTCAGTGGGAAGTGTGATAGTGCTCAGTGTCCTATAATACACTGCAACAGTTTTTAGCATCAGCCTGAGTTTAACTCTTTCTAGCATTTTTTTCTTTAACCAAAAAGAAGCCTCCCAGAGAACGAGGAGCAGGGTGTTGCGCACCCACCAGAAACCACGTCCCAAACGCATTTCTGCTACCAGGTCGCAGGATTCCAGAGCACATCCACCAGACTTCAGTTAATGTTTCAGTCAAGTTCAGTTAGTTTTCATTCGTCACTTAGATCCTAACGCCAAAACTGCTTAAGTCATATTCACTGGCTATGTTACATGTCATAGCAAACATTTTTACTAAATGACTTAGTTTTTATCATCACTCCAAGTTAACTGACCAGAGACAGCCACGGTAATTAAGAGGCAATTGATATGCCTGTATTTCAAGAGCTCAACGATGTGGTTAGAAGCTAGGATCTATATCTCCTGTGCAATGCCTAAAATTAATTGCCCCATCCCATTTTATAATTTCTCTTTATACAACAGTCAGTCATGCTTCAAGTTCTACTGTTATGAAGTGGCTAATTTGATTCTACAATCCATCTTTCCATCTGGTCACATACCCAGAAAACAAATTTTTCAAAAGGAGAATGTCACAAGTTTTGTTCTTAGTAAGGCAAAACAATATTAGATTTCATAGGAAAGGAACTTTCAGTTCAGAGTGTCAGCTTTAAAATATTGGCTGAGTTATACATCAAATGGAGAAACTGTCCTGTTATTCAAAGCACGATAAATTTACTACAGCCCGTAACAGCTTTCGACAACTCACAGATAGGTAAATTTCATATTAATTGTTATTAATGAAACATAGTAACAATTCTTCAAGTAAAACAAATATATAAACAAAAATACTTCTATCAAACTTTGAAGTAGAGACAGTTGCTGCTTAGTCATTTACCTAGGCAACCAAGTATAAAAAAAGATGTGGCTTTTACTTTTGCATATGTATTTCCTGTGCTGTTTTAAAAAGATCTAGTAGCTACATATGCAAGAGTAACAAAATAAGCTCCCAGAAACTCCTTTAAACCAATGCATTCTCACGAAGACTGCACCATCTTCTTAATACTGCTTACAACTACACCAGTACAAGGATAATGTCGAGACAAGTTTTATGTCATTTGCTGGAAATTACAGCTTGTCTTGCTAACGTGGGGAGGCTTTTCCAGTCTGCTCCTATTATGGAGGGGTCTGTACGATGGCTGTTCTCTCCCTCCGTATTACCAGCCAAGCGCAGAGAGAGTGACACTCTGCAGTGCCGCACACGTGAACTCTGAGCACCGCAGCGCTGCTTTCAATGCCTTCTGCTAAAATGCCACACAAGCAGCAGTATGACTGAGCGTTACAGGCTGCATGGATGCTCCTACTAGAAATTCAGAGTTCTGTGTCTGTAAACACAAAAATAAGGCTATAATTATGCCAAAATGCTTACTGAAACTTCCACTGCATTTTGACTTTCTAAAGTGTAATCTCAGCCACATTCTTCCGCAACAAAGACAAGCAAATCTATTTCTAAACCACATCTTGTTTCATATCCATGGTGGCTAAGGAATAAATAGGCAATACAACTTCTCCATACAAGCAGTTCTGTTTACAGTAGCCATGAGAACAGCGATTGGGACAGCAGTAACTGAAGATAATTGCCAACACCTCACTAATAACAGATAATTGGAGTAAATCAGAGCAAAGCACCTAAGAAAGGCCGCAAAAGTGATTAAAGTTCCCAATAAGGTGTTAGGGTGTTATTATCTAAGGCAAGATACTGGAAAGCTGAGAAAACACTACAGTTGCATCTGTTCTTATACAGCACCATGGCTTCTATTCTGTGAACAGTCATAAAGACTGAAAGAATATGATCTCATTATCACGAGTGACAGAAATTCTATAAGCACCTAATCAATGACATCAGAAAATCACTTAAAAAAAGAAGGGGGCAGACACAAGCAGTATCTAACACCTACCACCTCAGGGTAGGTCAGAAAACAATAGTCACATTGTAAAGCTGATACACATCACAGAAGCAATGAACAAATTAACTGATTTTGAATGACATGCAGTACAGAAATAGCTGAACTAATTCTGAACGACGTACCTAAAGAAAAGCAACTTTATTTTTTACTTACCATAGACAGGATGATAAAAGATTTTATAGTTCTAAAGGAAGCTTATATAGAACAAAGTACTTCACTGGTAATTAAATTTACCTTTATAAATGCACAGCCAGTCCCATTGTCTGTAATGGTAAGCCCAAGCACATCATCTGTTTTAAGAACTTCCACTTCTTTTCGTTGTCCTTTTACATGGGCAAATATGAAATCTTCAAGTCCAATTTGTGCACCTAAGAGCTTGTCCATATCAGCTTTATGAGTGTTCAAAGTGCAAAACATGATCTGTGCAGGAGGAAAGCAAACACATTCAGTTTAACAGTGTATTGGGTTTGGTGAGCTTGGAAGATAAAAGGAGAGCACAGTTCTGGCCTCTCTGACAGAGCTATAGCTGAAATGATGACTCTCCTTCTCCAGCTGCCCCAGGAGAGGCGACAGTCTCCATCCATGCACATGACAGGAAACATCAACAGCTCAAACTGCAGGGATCAAAGGAAAGAGCTGTATCTGCGTGGGCAGCCTCTCACAGTCTGTCTCAGCACACCAACCCTGACACAGGCACCTTGAGCTGGAGCAGAACAGCTTGTTCCAGAAGCTAGTGAGAAAACTGAACAGCCACCACCATCTTTTGGTTCATTATTCACTCACCTTGAATTCCACAAGATCAAACATCACTAAGGTCTGCTTTAAAACATAACTGCTTGAAAGAAGTTTCACAGGGAAAAAAAGGGAGCCTACCAAAACAAAAGGCTTGTGAGAGGGCATGGAATGTTTTATACTACTCCATGGATTCCCCTAATAGCTCAGAGCACACTGTCTCCGATGCTTTTGCTTAGTTTCCTACCCATCCTACCCATCACTTCTGTTCCAGATTAGTAAAAGCAAGCCCTAAGAAAAAGGGCAAACTGCTTTGTTATAAATCAGCCTTTCTGAGGGATTTCCCTTTAGCACTGGCTGTCAGGCACTCCTTTTTCTCCCTACACTTATGCTAGTGTTTGCTTAACAGGGAGGTTTATTGTGCCAGGCACAGGCAGGATGCAACTAACCCCGCTGTTACTGTGGGACAGACATGATGCTTTTGCCCACCGTGGTGCTCTGTGAAGGAATTTGACCAGTCCAGACAGGCTTTGGGCTTTCTGCTCTGTACTGAGCAGCCTAGCTGAAAAAGAAAAAAGAAATCCAATGCTCCCCCTCATAGCTGGAGCAACCACAGCTGCCCAGCTCCTTTCCAAGCTGTAGCCAGAGAGAAGCAAAGGCTGAAGGAGGCCTCCACAGCCTCCTCCTGGGCAGCACCAGGGAGCACAGGGCAACAGCCAGTATAGAGAAACTCTGCTGCAAGGAAAAGCTTGGGAGAATCCCTAAAAGCTATTTCAGTGAGGCAAAGAGCAGCCCTAAAGACCATCTTTCAAGTGCAACTGGAAACAAAGGAAAGAGGAGGGGACTTGCCACCCAATCTGGCCCTCCAGCACAGGTGGCAAAGCCACAGCTGCCAACCCCCAGACAAAGGCTCTGCTGCCACGCATGCATGTCTGACAGGACAAAAGTAGGTACTTCTCTACCCCGTGCCTATATTTGCTGGACATTATTTTCCCTCGAAGAGCATCTTGGACCCCCCTGCAGCCCACTGCCTAACAAGCTTCAAATTAAGAAGTGGAAAAAGCAATGCCAACCCATGGAAAAGAATACACAGTGGGGAGCCAGCCTAGCATTTGAGAAAAACAGCAGCAGGATGTCGCTCTGCGTCCTTCATCTCTGCTATCGCTCTCGTGGCACTCCCCGGGGCCAGGTCAGCTGTCCCAAAACCCAGGCACAGACCTGTGCATGCATCACCTCCTGGAGCTTCGCTGGAAACGGACGGACTGCTTCTGCCTTCGCAGTTTCCCCCAGCATGCTTGTTCACGTGTACCTTTTCATCTCTCTCTCAAGCCGCATTATAACTTGGCCAGTTTACAACTACAACTCGGTTCTTGTTCTTACAGGGAACAATAAGCAGTATGCTTTTACATTTCAGAAATTAGCATCCTTCATCTGACCTTGTCAAACAGACAATCATCTAGTAACTACTGTCACACCTTTGAATAGATAAAATTGGCAACAGAGCAGAAATGTGATATTTAGAAACTTGATCCGGAGTTTCTCTTTTTAGAACTTCATCTGGATGACATTCCTACTACAGCCTATAAGTCTGCAGAATTTTCTGAGTCAGTTCTGTACTAACCACAAGGCTGAGAGAGCATCAGCCAGTCAAAAATAAAACTTAAATCATTCTTTATTCTCTTTAGTGAACAACTGTTTTTTCTCAGAACAGATACATGCAAAGAGTAATGTACTAAAGATGTATCTACCCAGGCTAATATATAGTTACACCATCTATCAGTTACAGAACAGCTTTATTTGTACATGACTGAGACCTGTCAATTGAAAAATTATACATTTTTTTCATAGATTTTATCTAAGTTTAATATAAGTACCTAATAACAGCTATATATTTAAATACTTAAAACAGTACATCTTCCATTCACTCAATTTGGTATATTTTTAATAGTAATTTTCTTACGCAGAAATGAAGCACGATTAACGTGCAATTTTCATGGTTAAGTCTTTTCTCTTTCTTCTTACCCTCAACCTTCATATGCATTTGATCTTCAGCTCAGCATACCAGTGCTGTGACGTTTTATGCCAACTTTAACAAGATATTACAAACCGTAACTGTTTACATCAGTCATGAAGTATCTAGGATACCTCCACTGAGTTATCTTGTGCAGCACACAGAACAAGGAAATTCCATTCGTCTGGCAAGGACTGAGGACTTAAGCATAACCTTTTAAAATATATTTGTCAGATAAGTTGACAAACAGATTATTCCCTGCCTCAGTATTTTCAATAAGAAGAGACTACATTAGTCAGTAAGTACAGGGTTACAGTGTGTGTTATATAAAGAAACTGTATTAGCTAAGAAAAAGGTTACACTGTGTGTTATATAATGTATGCTGTGCCATATTGCATATCCTATGTACCAATTACATTTACATCATCCATATCAAGCCTACACCTTGAGAAGAACTCAAAAATAAGTTGTCTGATAGATGACATACTCAGAAGCAATTAAAAGTGCTTTTAAAATGAGTATATCTCAGATAACTTTACAAAGATCATAATCACTGTCTCTATTTAAGAGTTAGGGAAATGGGAATTTTACTTCTGACCAAGACGTAACACCTATTGACATATTTTGCTATCACACAGACATCATCAGATGAAAAAATCACCAACACAATTTCTAGATACCTTACTTTTCCTCTATGAGGAAAATGTGGGAGCCTTGACTAGGTGGTAGAACAGGAAGAGTAACCAAGTCCTTCAAGTTCTAGTGTGCTTCTGGCATGTAACTTTGTCCCCCCAAATATATTCAAAGCACAGTAAAATAAGCATTCAGTGTTTTATTGTTCTTGTTTTAAACCCAGAGCACACAAGAATCATAATGTAAGTTCCTCCATACAGCTTAAAAATGTTTGAAAAGCAGATCACTACCACAGCAAGCATCACACCTAATACGGGTGTGAAATGCAAGCACTGCTTAGGGGAACAGCAAGCAAACAATTGTTGCCACAGGGTTGGGAGGAGCTGGTTTGTAGGGAGTGTTAAATTTGCTCATTCAGACTCTTCAATCTGTAGGCAAGATTAAACGAAATTTGTTCCAACAGATAAGCATATACTCTAAAACTTTGAACATTTTGGTGATGTGGATGAGGATTTCACAAGCTGGACATTTTCTTTAATCTCCTAAAATATACTTCATGTTTCTTCTCGTTGTAAAGTCACTTTATTCAGAAACCTAAGTTTCAGCAGTGGCTTATTTTTCAGTATTCTTTCATAAAAGTTTAAACTGAACTGGTTTAAATCACTTCTATGAAAGTTTAATGTGGCAGAGCCTCACAGTATCCGTAACTGTTTAGCATGAGGAGGTACAGCCTGTGAAACAATGGCCCAGACACAAGCTCAGCAGCTGAACTCTTGTTACCAGAAGGAACAGAGGGAGCTCCATTTCTCCCCTTCGTGCTACTGGGAACGTCTCCCTTTTTTCTGTATTCCTCTTATGAAGCAAATTCCTTCCATTGTGAAAGAAACCCCGACCTCCGTGGGCCCTTAACAGACACACCCACTGAGCTTTCAACTCACCTCACCAGTCGCACCATACTTCACCCTCCCAAGCAAACAAAATAATCAAAAGTGCAAATTATAAGTACATAAACCTCAAGTCCATATAGCTTCTGTGGTCTACCATTCCCCTCCCATTTGGTGAAGAAATAGCCCTGCTACAGTTGGACTTTAATATCCACGTTTCCAGTGCCTTATTAGCTACTTTGAATGCTTTAAAGCCCTCCCATGTGCTCTCACAGAAGCACAGCAACACCAAACGCTTTAACAGACCCACACTGTCCTTTGGTCAGTGCTCATTTATTTATCATCCAGGCTGCACTTAGCACTTTCCCCCTTCCAGAGAACAAAGCATTGCCTGCCACTTTTACCAACGGTCACAGTTGGAGTAGTAATCCTAAATGGCCAAGACCATACACAAATACTATTTTCAACTACTTTTCTTACTTCATCCTCTATTTAAAAAAAAAAAAATGGGGGAGATATTTGTATTATTTATGCAAGCAGAAACATACACGGAACTCTGGATAGGTTGTGTTAAGAACTGCATCCGGGTCGGGTTTTTTTAGCTCTATGCTTCCTTGTTGAAACCCTGTTGAAGAAATCAAGTCAAGAACAATCAAATCAAGTCAAGAAAAAGGTGCTCTACCTCAGATAGCACTCATATTAGTGATACAGGCAACCCATTGCTAGAAGCCATCTTCACTCCTCCACATGGAAAGAACATTCACATTGAACCAGGAAAAGAAGAAATGATGGTTACGGTAAAAGTCAGAGAGGTAGGCAAAAATGCAGGCTGAATGTCAGGTTCAAAGGGGATAACCAAGATATAGATTCACCTAGGAAGAGGGATGAAGAATAAAATACCTAGACAAGAAAGGATGAGTAGAGGAAAAGCCTCAGAAAACTGATGTTACGGCTCATTCCTTCACAGATGCCTTGCAAGCACCACAGGAGTGACAGAGCTATACCTGTCATCTTCTATCCCCATCCTACCCCACTCCTGATCCAGGTCTGCACAGAAGTTTTTGTCAGTGTCTGTCCAACAAACACAGTGTTTTATACAAGCTTCTCTCTGTCACTGTTGCCAGTCAATCACAGATCCTGGAAAGGATCCTCCAGCAGAGGCTGAAC